TGGGCAGAGGGCTGTGCCCCATACCGCAATTACACCATTACTTTTGCAGGCACCAAGCGTCTGCAGCCTCCGCACTATGAGAGTGTAGAGTCCTTGAATTGCTAGCGTCTTTGATGATACTTGTCCAGTAGCAAAAGTCCAGTCCTTTAACTAAATGATCAAGATGGAAGACTATCAGGGAGGAAGACAAATTATGGCTGTCTCTCCAGTTGCCAGCTTCAGAATAGCACCAGCCGCACTAGTCGACCATGTCGTACCCCGCAAGCGGTGGGAGCAAATTCAACTTGGTCCTGGCTATCAATTGTTCCAGCGGGTACTTACATAACTTACAAGGTCTCCTCATGTCGTCGGTTTTGGTGGCTCACTGTCAAGGCAGCAGAGAAGATGAAGTTGGCGTCGACGTTGGAGGCGTTTGCTTCTTTTTGATGAACGTGATGGTGCAAACAAACCCCAACCGTCAGTATCAACCAGGGGGTGAAATTCTTAAGATGAGTTGCTTGAGTTTTACAATGAGCTCCGTTGCGGCTACTGCATGCTCATTGATTAGTCTGAGAAAGGTGAAGCTTGAGAAACTGCAGCAAGAGCTCCGTCAGGCCCTGCATGGTTTTCTTATCATACCAGCATCCGGATTGCGAACTTGCAGGTGACTGGGACAGGGAGAGGGTGGACTTATCATATGTTTGTCAGGCTGAAAAGAAAGAGCAAGCCACGGAAAAGACTGAGCACGCACTGCAGGCGAGTGTTTGGGCAGCTTTCGTTTGGTTGCTGGCTCAAATGTCGGTCACACAAATCAAGACATCAAGTTGTTTGCCGAATAGTTCTAATTGGACCTTGGATGGACATCAGGACTTGGTAGGAGTTGTCAACTGGAAGTTGCACTTGGCCACGCTGGAGATAGACTGCTAGACTGCCGGAAACCCTCCCAACATCTATACCGGATTATCAGGGCACCTCGTTCTTGTGCTTATGCATTGTTAAACTGCCACAACAGGAAGGTGTTGTCGGCATACTTTTGGTACATGTTTTCAGGATTGTCTAGCATGGTTCATTATACAATTATATGCCGGATCCTTGAAAAACTGGGTCAAGCTTGCACTGCATCGCAAGCTACCTGGATTAGACATGTTTGTAGAACTCTTTTGGCCGAACTACTCACTTCCGTGGCCAGAAAAAACATGTTATTTTATATGCTCGTATGCGTGAAACCGATGTGTGTTTCCCTGTGTATGTGATATTTGACGCTGTCATGTGCGATTCCAGCTTCTCATGTAGCAGTAGTCGGGTTGCTTGCTCCTTTACAGGCAGAGAAGGAGCAGCTGAAGAAGCAGTTGGAAGATAGAGAACAAGAGGCCAGATCAGCATCCTCATCCTCCGCAGAACAGATCCGAATCCGAGAAACTCAAATTCATCCAGTAGGTTTTTTCATTCAGCTGCGAAGTGCATCAAGTTTGTATTCTTATCATGGTTGTCACCATGGATAGCCTTTTACTCTTTTCGTTGGTTGATCAAATACCCCTGGTGGTGAGAAAAGAAACAGTAGCTATAGTCCAATAGCTCTAAGGTAACGAGTATTCGACCCCTTTCTTCTTCTAAAGGTTGGACATAGCTCTTCTTGTCACTCCAAGAGTGCCTTCGTTTGGTGTCCCTTTTCAGGCCAAAACCAAGGAGGCAGCTTCACAGGCAGCTTTTCATTGGGCCAACCGGTCAGAGGGTCGCTGCTTCAGCGCCCGGTGCTTCAGCGGTGGATCTGGTGCTTTTGAGCTGGGCTTCTTGTGGAATGTTCACCAGCGACAAGTAGATGCTATCAGAGTTTTGTGCTGGTACCACCTGAAACTGCTAGACTTAAGCCACGTGAGCCAGAGTCTTGACGGGCTGATGGGCAGGCGTGACAAGGGATGGCAATGTATGGTCCTGACATTGCCTTACACTGACGATATGTTTGGAAGGCAAGTCTTCTCACCTTCCGTTGCATGGGGACATTATCCTCCCTGTGTTATTGTTTTCCTCTTCAAACAGCTTCTATGTTTGTTGTCGTCCAATGTTGGTTGCTGCTTCAATTGTCCCTGGAATGTTGCCTCTTCTGGTGACAGTTTCTCTGCGGACCCTTCACGTTGAACTCCGGAACCAGAAGTCCGTCCACAGGCGCAACTGGAACTTCTGAAGAACGAACTCCGAGAAGCGCAGCAGGCGCAGCAGAAGGCTAGGCCGCGAAACGCCGCCCGGTCGACCGACCCCCGGCGTCCTGACCCCGCGGGTTCGGTTCGGGAGTCTTCGACCAGTCGCCCCGTCACCAGGGGCGATCGGGGGTCTCCCCCCCGAATTGGGAAAAACACTCCCGGAACGAACATGGAAGTGGACCACCTTCTTTAGGTAAAGGAAGCCCATCGTCCACTTCCATGCTTGTTGCAGGAAGGGTAATTAAATATTCCACAGAGTCACGGGTCAACTATCCCGGCTTCATTCTTTCGCGTTTCGAGGACATTGCGCTTGGCAGTAGAGGTCCCAAGGTCAAATGATGCATTTGGCTTACTGATTTCCACTCACAAGCTTTTTGCCCTGCAGAAGAGCTTGTGCTCCTCTCCCTCGTCCGGTCTTTCACTGACAGGCAAGGTTAAGAGATGCTGAAAAAGAGGCCACAGATGAGGCCACCGAAGTCCTGAAACAAATGACTATACAATATGTATATGTTTTGCATGATTCACCAGTGCAGATTATATGCTGGTAGAGTATGAAGTTTTGAATGAAGATTAACAGGGAATGTGCAACCAAGGCTTCATTATACCTACACCGTACAAGGTCCTGGCAGTTAGTAGCAGGGGGGGTTCGAACGAAGATTAGATTCATTAGCTCATTGAGTAGTGGCTCATCTTTCGTTGTTGGGCACTGTCTGTAGAAGTCAAGGCCTGTGCGAGAAGGGCTGAAGAGCATACCAGGAAGGTTCAGGAAAGCGAGGAGGCGTGCGGCCGGTCCTTCTGTTCTTTAGAACGGGGGCGGAGACCAAGATTTGCGATATTGCGATATAGACACTGCCCGATGTATCCTACCAGACTGTAATAGATCCTTGTAATCCTTCAAAAGGTGTGGATGGTTTGTTTTGCCTTTTATGCTTACGTAAGATTTTGGATGTGTTGGAGTGATGTAGGAAGCACCCCAAGACCCGGCAACCCTCTTTTATTTTCCGGTCGTTTCCTGGACTTCTGTCACTCTCCCGTGCAAAAGGACCTTCTGGGGGAAAAACACACATGTCCATCAAACCGCCTTCAGTGGAGTGTTGAGATGCTACTCACTCCCCCTCCAATAATCATCTAAGTGGACGTTCTGGCCCCTTGGAAAGACGATCTTCCTCTACCAAGAGGGGGTTGTCCGACGTCCACTTCCATGATTGTTGCAGGGAGCTTTCCAAACGGATCCTTGTCTTGTTTCGGTACTCTTTTTGAGATGAGGCTCTGACGAAAAGGGCTGACGTCGCCGAGAACACGAGAGAAAGCCACAAGGCCAGGGTCGTGTCTCTTGCTGTATACAAGTTGTACGGATTCGGAGTTCGTGCTGCGAGTTCGGAAGTGGTCCTCTTTTGGTCGCTCAATGGCACCGAATTGTCTTGTTTGTTGTAGGCCCCAGTTTCACTCAGCTTTTGAGTGGTTTCAGGGCTTTGCAGCTTGATGCAGTTTGATGCAGTTTGGACACATGTTTGAACATCACAGGGGCGATCAGTTAGCGTGTGGACACGAATTAATATAACAACAGAGGGAGTTTCATTGGTCAACTTCGAGTCCAGAAGTCCATTGAGTTTGATAGAGAGGATCACTGATGGCTTGTTTTCCCCCAAATGTCGCCTTGACATCGTCACTACCAAAAAGGCATCAAAACAGCTCCGGACTTCTTGGCACTTGAAAGGTCAACTTCGACTTTGCCCAGATGGAGCTTCCAGCGGAGAAGCAGAAGTGGCTCACAGAAGTCAAGCGCAATGGGCAGAACTTGCAGAAGGCCCCTGAGCATTTGAAGAACGACAAAGACGTCGTCCTGGCTGCGGTGGAGGAGCATCGCCTGGCCCTGCAGCACGCTTCAGAGGAGTTGAAGAAGAACAAGGACGTCGTCACGGCCGCGGTAGAAAAGGACCCACGGGCCTTCACCTTCGCCTCCGAAGAGCTCAAGAAGGACATTTCTTTCGTGAAGACTGTCGTGCAACTGAAGCCAAAAGCGTTGGAGTTTGCCGCGGATGCCTTGAAGCAAAACAAAGATGTTGCCTCCTGGCTGCCAAGCCTGGTAGAGTCGGTTTGCCAGACTTGCACACGTTCAACTCAAAAACAGGTCTTAGCGGTGAGGATATTGGATACCACACAATACAATGATACTCAATGGCACATGGTGGCTTTGCAATTTGACTTGCGAAGCTGACAACACAAGACTTGCAACCACTTTGTTTTGGCAGCGACTATTCTTTTGGTGTCTTTGGGCTGGATAAAGGAGGCAAACGGGAGAATGAAACTCGCCGAGGTCCTTGTGGCAGTCCAGCACAGCGGTTCTGCTTTGCAACACGCTGCGGAGGCTTTGCAAAGTGACCAGGAAGTGGCCTCGCAGCTGCATGCGTTGGATTTTTTGCATGCAAACGTTGACCTTTTATCCTTTTTTTATCCAAGTGTGGAGAGAAGAGTCCATCGTTCCTTGTGGACTTAGCCCGATCGGTGGGACCTAGTGTTCGTCGCACATCTCCGCCTCTCGAATCACCTGCCGAGTATGAGCGGTTGTTCGATTGGGCGCAGCCGAGGTGATGGCAGCGGTACAGCAGAACGGAGAAGCGTTGCAGTACGCTGCAGCTGCATTCAAGGCGGAGAAGGAGGTGGCCTCGTGGCTGCAACATGCTGCAAGCCCGTAGAGCCCCATTCTTTGATGCCTAGCATCCAACATGCACAAGGGAAGAAAAAGTAGTCAAGATATGACATCATGGTCATTCCATGTCGTCACATGTTGCTGTCCCCATATTGTGTCCATCGAGCCGTGTTTTTGCGTGCCACTACGTTTATCTAGATTTTGTTCTGTTATTTGGGGCTCTAATTTGTCTCTATTCCAGCACCAGCCTATCACTCAATGATTGTTGCTAGCTTGAGTATATGTTCTCAAGAATGTGGATCTTCTTTGGTTGCGTTTTACGGTCAATTACAGGATGCATTCTTTGTTTTTGACCGAAGTGGCCGTAAAACACATCACATTGCAGTTTCCTCCATTGCATATCCATCGGACATCTTTGGAGCGATCGATCTGCCAAGATACTTTGGCCTCCAAGCGATGCAATGAGCAGTGACGGCATGTGGACGGCATGAGTGCTTCGTTTCCATGTCAGAAAGGCATCCCAAACACCCACTGTGCAAAGCTTGAGTTCCGCCAGTCGTTGATGATGGAAAGTATTGGTCATGTACTGTATGCTCTATATATAGACAGATTGTAGATCTGTTTGGCCCATACACCTTGGAACTAGCGTGGAACTCCCAACTTGTTTCCAAGGGCAAACACACTTTCAGATGGTTTTTGGAGGTTCCAACAACGCTCTTCGGTTCGTGCAGAGTGCACGGGTCTTCGAACAATTGCATGTCCTGAGTCACCACCACTCCTAGAACTTCGCCCAAACCCTCTCATCCCCTTTGCCTCTCGAATCACCTGCCGAGTATGAGCGGTTGTTCGGTTGTGCGCAGCCGAGGTGATGGCAGCGGTACAGCAGAACGGAGAAGCCTTGCAGTACGCTGCAGCTGCATTCAGCGCGGAGAAGGAGGTGGCCTCGTGGCTGCAACTATAAAGGGCCCTGATTTTGTGTTTTATTTTGGCACACCCGCACACCACATACTCCTTTGTGTATCCCAAGAAATCGCGCCATGCTATAATTACATGGATTGATATTGATTCCATGGTGGGTGATACCACGACGGGTCTCATATGAGACTGCTGATCGCTCTAATTTAACAAAGCTAGCTTGACTCATTCAGGTCAGCGAGGTCAGTGTGTAGTATGTATTTGCAGGTGTCCCAGTGGTGTCCTTTTCAAAAAGGAAAGTTCCGCAAACCGTGATGTGGAAAGCATTCTTCACCGACATCTCCCAGAACTTCTATTATACATGATGCCCATGCCCCCCCCGTCGTTTTGCAACCTCCTCTCCCAACGGTGCACGCTCCAACGGCGAATTCCGAGTCACCAACTCCCACGGCCTTGTCTTGCGTCCCCAACGACGGCAGACGACGGAGGTTATGGCGGCAGTGCAGCAGAACGGCAAAGCCCTGCAGTTTGCTGCCGCCACTTTGAAAACTGACAAGGAACTGGCTTTGTGGCTGCAAGACTGGGTGCGACTGAAGTAGCATGGTGGGGTAGTGAGGTTGTGAGGGGCAAGATTCGACGGAACTCAAAGGGCACAGGAAAGCCACCAAGGGGCACAAAGGGGAGGACAAGTCGTCATAACAAGAATTGTTGCTTTGTTTAATGATTAATGATTATATGATTACTTGCTTTGAGTGATTTCAATGTTCTCACTCCCAGGGTTCAATGGTCCATGAGAGGATCCAACACTAGGATGTTCCTCAATTCAGGTGCCAAGTGCTTAAGCGACAGATTGGATCATCCTGCACTTCCATGAAGTTAGTGATCTGACTTGTTTTGTTCTGCTGGAACAAACATACATGACCTCTTCATGTCCAGAGGGTGGTTTGGAAGAAAGCAACTGGGTTTGCCGGAGTAGTGGTTCTGAAAGATCTGAAAGCCAGATCTTTTTGTTTTTGGTCTAATCCAACGATTGGAATTTTACAGTGAAATCCGTCAAAGGTTACCGCTGCATGATTGATATTTGTATTTGTACTACCTTCCTTGAGAAACCATTTACGTGACATTTTATAAATCTCAATTCATGCGTCGCAAAAGAAACTATAGTGGCTTTGAACAAACATGTCAGAGACCAGAGACCTTAAAGATCAACCATGTCAAATCAGTCAACCACCATCAATTACCCACCACCACCACCCCACCACCCCACCCAGCCTCGGTGTCCGATCCATAGATCCGCCTAAAGGTCCAGGCTGCCTGGCTGCAACGGGTGCTGCGCGATGGCACGGAGATGCAGCACGCCCCATGGATCCTCCGGAACAACCGGGAGTTCCTCATCAAAGCAGTGGCGGCCACCAGGGCCCCCTGGCTCTTGAAGCTGTCTTCGGAGGCGCTCAAGCAGGACAAAGAGCTTTCGGAGCATTTAAAGGCTTTAGCTGGAACCGGTTTGGTCTTCACCTACTACCACAGCTTTGACTGCTTCCACAACATGCGGGAGGCCTTCCTGGCCACAGGTGCTTCAGCTCCGGGCGGTCAGGCCTACGAGGAAGTCATGAAGAAATTGAACGAAACTTCTGGCGGTGCCTGGGCAAGACGATGCTTTTAGGAGGGCCCTAAGGCTTTATGGGCCAACAACGGCTGGGTCGGAAGAAAGGCGCGGCCCCACTCTGTGGGGTCAAACGGATCAACGACATGTGATGATTTCAGTGTGAAGTTTTCTTGGACCCTTCACACCCTGAAAAGATCTGATAAGGAACAAACTTGGACATATCTTGATGTTTGGAGGCCCTAGTGTTTGTGTAGTTTTATGTGATCCAGCAGTTTGATACGTCGTTTATTGAAACCGTAAGGGTTCTTCGGTTCAAGGATTATGTGTGCTTGGATGGACATATCAAGAAGAACACGCAAACTATAGAAAAGTTCTTCCACTTTCCATTATGGATCCCTGATAGAGTGCCTTGTTTCTTGTTTGTGGCTTGACAGAGATGGTTTGTTTCATAATGAATACCTTCAAGCCTATAGCCCTGGTTTTTTTTTTGGGACGCCCGCTTAGAATACATTTTAGAAGAGAAAACGGTTCACAGTGGTGCTATGTACTTGCCAAAGCGAAGGCTTGGCAAAACATGGCTTTCAAGAACCAAGGGAAGTCTTCAACCGCTCCCTCAATCTACTGACTGCTTTAAAAAAAGCGTTGCATAAGTATGTGTGTGTGTTTGGAACCAGGGGGGTTTGAAAGGTATGGTCGAAGCTTAGCCAGCTCTATACTATGTATCACATGTATCACATGCCAGAGCATGGCAAAAGGTAATCTGGTGCGTCCAAGCGGCCAGCCTGGCTACCTCCAGCTTCTTTCAATACCCTGTACCTGTGTGGAGCTCGTTGGGAGCTTGGGCCCTTCACCACTGCCACTGTCAAGTTGAACCAACCACCTTAGGTTCACGGAAGTCCAGCTTTGGCGCATTTCGTTAATACAATGGTTACAATAACTATAGGCTACAATAGTTTATCCTTTTCCTCAGGATCCAGATTCCTCCCTTCTCACCTCTCACTCAGGATCCGCGACAGTATGGTTCGACAAAGTACACGTTTGGGGCTTTGCCGCCGGCCACTGGCGCCATCCCTCCACGGACTGCGGTCGCGACATGGTGCCCGTGCCGCCGCCAGAGGGGCGCGACCCGATGTGGGAGGCCATGGTGGAATCTCGCATCGAGAGGCTGACACCAGAAGTTGGCTCACAGCACCCGTGCCGCTTGCTTTGTGTCCCAAACAAAGGGCCTTTGGGTTTTGATGGCATGTTCATGTGTCGAATGGATCGAGTAATATCGAGTATCAGTTGATTTGTGTTTTCGTTTCTTTTGGAGACTCTTCGCAAGTGTTCGTCGATTCGCATAATATTAAAGCTAGCTGTTACTAGCTTTGCTCATGTCACCTAGTCTCGCCAAGGCTGGTGCTGTCGTTGGCTCCGAGTGGTCAAGGAGAAAATTGAAGCAGGAGCCGTTATTTGTTGCGTGGTGTCAAATATCTACGACGATGTTTCTCGGCTTCTATTTGCTTCCAGGGTTGTCCCTTCTCATTTGATCTCATGTCAGTGATTCTTCAGATTTCAAAGGGACATCAATTCAACGACTGAACGTGTGTCATGGGAACAACCACCAACATGCTTTCTTTGAAAAAAAACATCAATTCCAGCTCCAGCAGCATGGAAAGATGGATCAAGGTCCAAACATGGAGACCCCCAAAACCATTTGGATGTCCACTGCCCTACGACGCACCACCGAGTCTTGGGTGGATGACTATGGCGCTGGCTCCTCCGAAGTGTCGGACCGCGTGGCGGAGCACTACGGCCTCAAGCGGAGCCTGGCATTTGCAAGGATATGCAGATATGCATTTGATCGGTTCAAACGGGGTATGTTGATGCTGTATTTACTCCAGTCCATCATACATGTGCTAGCTCAGCAAGAGTTCTCCACCACTTGGTATTGACTCACAGACTCTACAATATTACTCTTTGATGCTGTTGCGTGCTGTGAAGACTGAATAGAATGCTTGTGAGACGGCCTTGTGTTGAAAAGCACATTTGTTCATCCAAGGGAACGGTTCCGGAATGGGCGGCCAGCTGGTTGGGGTGAAGGCAGCATCGAGATTTACGAAGGCCGTGGCAGAACGCACAAATACTCCAGGGTGGCACCAATGCATCCCCACACCAAGTTGCCACTGGGTGAGGGATGCCGTTGGGAGCGCGAAGCACTTGACAACCTAGATTGCACAGTCATGGCCTTCTTCATGCCCTAGAAGGGGCTGGCAAGAAGTACATGCAATTCATTGGGACATGAGGACCATGTGTGGAAATCATATGTAAACATCCTGAGGTCCGTATGAATCCAATTGGCCCAGCGAAATTGTACAGTCTCTTCGCCGGAGTCGAACCTCAGCCTAAATGTTGCATCAATCCCATGCAGGCATCATGCAGGAGCGTTGACCGACATGGTCGCAAAAAAAGAATGAACGCGCCGCATCAAGATCGAAGCTGCAAGAATGCTGCAAGTTATCTTTTGTTGGTTCATGAACCTCCTTTGCTTCAGCCTGAATTGAAGATATTGTTGAATTCCAAAGGTGACAGATGTGGCATTGGCGGGAGAATGACACAGAATGAATACCAAACACGCATGCAGTGAACACCACAGAACCATCCAGAACCCTTCATCCGAATCACTCAACACCATCCAATACTTCCCCAGGTCGTCCTTTTCAAGCAAATCGGCGAACCTCCATGAGTTGTGACATCTGACGTGTGGCCAAAAAGCGAAGTTGAGCTGGAGTTGGCTTGTGGATCAGACACAGGATGGGCCCCTGTTTGAGATGTTCGGATTAAATGGATTGAATCCCACATGCATTGAATGAAACTCTTTCTGCATCCAAAGGTGGGTTCGCTCACGTCGTAGATCTATGTTCAAAGCTGCTTGAACCCGGAAAAGCCAAAGAGCTTCTTGGAAACATCTACAACGCACAAGAAATCTGCAGAAGGTTCTTGAGTTCAACACTGGCGGACCTTGCGGTGGACACTCACTGACTCAGTGAATGGGTGTGTCCAGAAGCTACACCCCCCCGCTGTGTCATCCAGTTGACGCATTACATTTACTGGACCCCTGAAATCCACAAGCTGTGCCATAAGTAGTGAATAGTTGCGCGAAAGTTTCACTCACAGCAGTTTCCTGGCCCTGCATCGCTAGGGGTTTCTTTTGCTGGGATCAAGCGTAGTTGAACTCGAAGCTGTAGGCTGGTTGATCTCCCAGCTTGCACTAAGAGGTCTACGGTTTACATCAAACTTCAAGACAGTACCGACTACAACCACAACATATGTTGCAATCAAGCCCCTTGGGCTATGGCAAACATGATCCGCACACAGACACTCAATACACCTGCAGACGGAACTACACACGGACTGGCATTCCAAGGGGGTGTCATACAAGAGCTGGCCCTGGGCGTTCCACACCATGCCGCAGAGCGGGGGAAGAGCTGAACTGCCGTTTGTGGCTGTCGGCCGCCTCAAGGACTGCTGAACTTCTTTGGAAGAATGCATTGCATTTAAAGAAAGCAGCTTCAACAAAGACTTCTGTCCTTTGACTTCACCTTTGACCGTGCTTTCGCCTCCCTTGCGCAAGTCTGTGGTGGGAAACAGGACAGGATCACCTTGGCCTACCACGCTGAGATTGACAATGCTGAACAAGAGGACTGATTCAAGTCCTTTGAGGCTGAAGGGATCAGCCCCTTTCAGAACACATGACGTCGTGTGATTTATCAGGAGGGAGAGATATATCACTCTTGAGGTGCATGTTCACTTCATACGACGATTAGCTCAATAATAGCCGCTTCATGATGCTCAGCTTCTAAGCATGTACTGATCAAGTTGGAAAGCCTTACTAAGCATGTTTAATGTATCCACCATATCATTCTCTCTCTCTCTGTGTTTACGAGATACGTGTTTATAACATAAAGCAGCATGAACCCTCGAGAGTCGTAGACATTGCCAACCTTCGGGCCCCGAGGAGTTCCTGAAGACCTTCCAGCAGCTGCTACAGGTGGGGGGTGGGCGGAACCTGTTAGCCAGGGAAAAAACAGCCATAAAACAAAGATTGCTGGAAGTATCTGAAAAAGCATTAATTCTTGGGGAATAAACCCTTCAAAAACCTTTTCAAGCTGCCTTTGACCTCAACATTCCCCCGCCATCTTCCCGAGAGCAACACGCAGCCTTTGCGCCACGGCGGCCGGTCTGCATGGTTTTCGCCCTGGTCTCCGCGGCGTTCCGCGCAGGTCTCCGCGCAGAAGTTGGCGGCGGGACAACGAACTCGGCTGCAGTGGAAGAGTGGAACGGCTTGGCGTCTCAGTGCTGGCCGGTATGCCGGTCTAGGAGAGGAGACTAGGATGAGGTGAGCGCTTGGAATTTTGGTTGGAGAGGTGGAAACTTGTTCTTCAAGAAATACTAATACATATATGTGTTTCACTGAAGACTTGAGTGGAAGGGCCAAACGATCCCAAACATAGTGGAGGGCCCGGTTCAGAGTGGCTCCGCGATCTGTATGGTAACTTGCTGCTGAGACACAAATCACCCTGAAGCTTCATTGCGCTGTACAATATCATCACAGACAGAGCTGAATAAAGCCCCAAAACGCCTAGGTTTGCCTTTTGATGGATGAGCAGGCGCGTTTTCTCTACTGTGTGGCGCACTCCTCAGCATGTACAAGGGGCTCTACGAGACCATAAGACACGTCTTCAATTCACGGTGGATGAGGCGTTTGTGAGGCTGGCCTTGCCGCTTGCCAGTAGAAGTGGTCCCTCCTTCACTAGGTTTGGAGCTTCTGAGCAATCAAGGGGAGGTTTACTTTGAGTTTCATTTGCGATGACACATCAGCTGGAATCCTCATTGGTCCTCACATGAAAGCACGTCTAATTCCTGGGAGTTCAGCGCCCATCAGCCGCTTGCCCATCAGCCTCCCCAGATGTCGATCTTGAGGTCACCTCCTCCGCCTCGTATCCCAAGAAGCGAGCGCATCAAATGCTGCGAGGTCGTCTCTTCACGAGCCACGCGCGACGGGATGCACGCCGCGCGATGCGTGCGCACAGAAGCTGCGAGGGGTTTGGACCGATACCGATTTGGGCTGGTGATTTTTCAGGGCTGCTTCAGAAGGTCGCCGGTCACTATACTCATTTTGTCGGTGACTTATCGATATCGTCTTTTAATCGCTTATATATCATATATACTTGTAGTTATGTTGGTGGCGACGTAGTACAGAACCACAGTCAAGACTGACCTGGACCTTCTGTGAGGTGGACCTTTGGTCATGGTTCGGTGCATGTTTTGCCGTAGATACCATTGGTATCCATTGGTTGTGAGGGTCTCATGGATTCATAGGTTCTCTCAAGTTCTCTCCAGATACTGTAGATACCATATTTTTGGAAGTCATTCAATCCGTTCAATCCCCAGCAGTAGCATGCAGTAGCTTTGAAAGTTCTTTTTGCTAGACTGGTGGGGAGCTTCCTGTGCTTCCGCCAAGCGCCAGATCTTCGATCATTGGTGGAGAAGGTTACCACAAAGAATTTGAGTCGAGCTGCAGCGTTCACATTGACCTTCAGCGTGCAATCAAATCGAGCTGCTTGTTGTAGGTAGTATGGTGTAGCAACACAGTATGTAAGAACGAGCAAACAAGATGTCTTTACAAGAGTTGACACGTAATGTCACACGTTGTTCATATGTGTGTATGTTTAGAAGTTTAGACCATGGAAGAATCTTTCTGAAGGTTAAGGAAGCCAAACTTGCAAGCGCCTAAATACTATGCCTAACATACTAATAGTTCTTAATTATCACTGAACAATTTTTATGCATGATTTATAGTGCCCCTTTCAACTGCCTGGTTTCTTTCGTCAAACTTGCTGGTCCAAGAGCTGAGGAACAACCAGCTAAAGGAGTCCATCGGTGAGCTGGTGAAAAAAATACCAAACCACAGAGGCTCCAGTGGGATCCACTGGGCGGGTGTAGGGTTTTTGGACCAACTCACCGGTCGAGAGGTTTGTAGCCAAGCGATTCTTTCGAGAGGTTTGTAGTGAGGCTTGAAGATTCTCCCAGCAACTATGATCACATATTTTGTTGTGCATGACTCTGAAAGACTTTCGGTTGAAGGTAGATCAAGAGGTGCATGTGTGCCTGTGTATATGTCGGATCTGGTGGGGTGGTGGCATGCTACCGACGTCCCCCTCGACGAGACATGAACAAGATGTTGATGTCCACAGTAGTTGCCTCCGCTACATCAAATACTTGAACCAACATTATTATCCTCAGTACAAATAGGACCTATGTGGCAAAGAACCCATCAATCAACACAAGTGGATAAGTCTGAGTGGTTTTGCAATGGTTCTTGAACTTCTACCCTCCTTCCAAATCATGGAAGTGAATGGCATGGCCCCTGGACAGACAATTTTCCTCTACAAACAGGGGGGTCCGTCCACTTCCATGTTTGTTGAATAGAATCAATAACCATATTTGGGCCAAAAGACGTAGTATTCTGTTTACATTACCAGCAGTTTCTTGGAGGGAGGGTATCAAAAACAGAATTAATGTTTATTTCACTTTCTTTTTGAGGGGGCCGCATCCGTCCCTGTGCGTCACTGAGCGTTCGTTCCACCGCCAGGCATCCTTGTGCTCGGGCTCTCCCGGCCGAGAGCCCAGCACTGGCCGTCGATTGAACGACCCGAATTGGTTTGATTTGACCAGCTTGCACAAGAGCCGGGAGGGAGCCAGAGGAAGCTGAGTGTTCAAGTGATATTGGAAAATTGAAAAGGCTGCAAGAAGTATCACAGGGTTTTCTTTGGCAACTTCAGGGCGATTGCGGTTTTTTATACACGGCCGCATGTGCATGTGAGGCCTTCCCCATGTCATACGCGAAATAACATTGTTTGAAGGGTTAGCAATATACAATAATGTCCACTATTGTAGGCACTGCCCAGGGGTTTTGCACTCTAGCAAATCCCCTTAGGCGTGAGCAGTGGTCTTGTGCGGCCAGGCATGGTTGTGGCTTGGTCAAGGGACAGCCGAATAGCCGCTGGGTGGGCCCTGCATATAGATGATTCCCAGCATTGGTATTAAAGATACCTTCATGGTTTGTCACTGACATCTGATGCAGCCAAGGATCTCGGAATCAACGAGTAAAACCAACGTGTCAAAAGAATCTTCTATTTTATTATGAGTTGTCTTGTAACGAGGTGGATTTGTATCAATCACACAATTGATGCGGATTCTGGCTACCATCTTGGATCCTCAGTGCAAGTGAAAAGCTCGGGACGGTGAGGTAACAGACGACGGACGGTCACCTTTCTGGCGCTTTGTTTAGGAATACGGGGCATGGAAATGGTCGTTCTCGTTGCTCTCGTCACCGAGTCAAAACGAAGTGAAACGACTCGTCACCGTATGGATCGAGAGGAATCAGCCCTTCACCTGGTCAAGCATTGAATCGTGTAAGCAGAAGCGGCTTCCTGTGCACTGTTTGCCCAAGAGCCACAACAGCAACCTCACTCAGTCAACATTCAGGTCTGTAAAAGGATATCCGTTTGTTGACTCCGTTGCATGAAAACCCAAGTTCTATAGAATCCACACGTGAAACGACAGCTGTAAAGAAAACACGTGAAAACCGACATGCAGGAACTCCTTGACCATACACCATGAAACATGTGAAGACTGATGATTTCTTTGTGATCCACACATTCCTTGGAGACCCACGGATTCCTTCTTTCATCCCCCCCGCGCAGCACGGCTTGCCGAGGCTTTGCGGCAGGAGATGGAGGAGCTTCTCCGGTGCCAGCAGGGACCCTTTGCTTTCCTGGAGCAGAGCAGCGTCTTGGGCAGCACATCCGAGTGTGTGGGCGGTGTCAACGGTCAGCGTGTTTGTTCGTCGAGGAAAAAAGAGGTGTACAGAACGTTGTGGAAACGTTTAGTTGATGGTTGTTGAATACATAACAAAGGTCTTCGGTTGATGGGTTGTATTCACTGTCTTTGTGTGTTTGTTGGGTATTTTTATGAAGCCGGCCAAATGCACTGCAAACCCGGCTTTGGAGATCAAGAAAGCCCATGCGACGCACGCCTCAGGGTGCCTTGAGTTGCTCCAGTCCACTGGCTGCACGGCAGAGGAGTCGAAGACACTCATCGAGAAGAGAGGATGTGCTCATCAGGGCTGGATTGACAGTAGATGGCACAGACTCCCAATGTTTGTGGTTATAACATGGCCCCCCATCTGTCGACAGGAGATCATGGGGTCTGTGCCATCGAACCTCTGAAACCACTGTCAGACTGTGAGTCCCGCTGCAGATGAGTCCCCATGAGTCTTCCCAAGAAATAAATGAAACCACTTACGCTCACAGATCAGTGATGTTTGTTCGACACATTCGGTCTATGGAGGTCACAAGCATGACATAGCATGACCAGTGTTGTGGCTTTCGAATCTGGATGGATTTGATAGACTGGTGGATTACGTTTGGTGGGTCGCCTGAATAAGCTATACAGATCAGGTTGGGAACCTCGAACGGAACACGCCTCCTACGAAAAGGCCCCAAGCATGTGCAAGCTGTTTTTTCCTGTCTTGTGTTCTTCCTCTCAAGGAGAAGTCTGAGACGTTGCGAACAACGCATTTTGCGGGATTTTGCAGGGGTCAAGCGAGTCAAGCACATGGCCAGAGATTTTTTCAATCAAGACAAGATGATGGACTGACCTCAGCTGTTTCAGCCATTGTCGAACAGACTTCAAAACGGAGACCCTCCCTGAAACCTTTGAGGGTGAAGACCCAGTCGAACACCTTCGGAACACCTTCGGAACCTTCGAAACACCTCCAGGGTTCAGCTTTCGCTATTACAGCATGAAATCACACATCCTGTATACTATGACGATCTTTTCATATTAATTACGGTTATTTGTGACCGGCCACGCAGACATAGTCAGATGTCCGTTTGATGATTTGGAGACGTGATTGAGTCCTTCACCATCCTCACCTGGAAACGCAGGACTATCGAGAAGCAACGCACATCAGCCCCTGGGCAAGAATCTGTTGCTCCAGTGGGCTGGTGTCATGGGTGACCCACTTGCTTTCCTTGCTGTGTTTGGACCACTGAGGGGTGAAAGACTTCCTGGACCTCCTGCCAAAGATGCAGGTGGAGGCTGGGATTGGTATTCACGGGTCGCATCATTCTTGAGCTTTGCTAATGAGCCGCTAGTATAGACTAGACTTACCTGCCACTGCAACAGGGCCTGAGCATCAGCAGATCGAACGGGACCACCACAAGAGTTCATAACGACTGCCCAACGCTAGTTGCTCAAAGGGTGGGGCTTGCACAGTTGAGAAGCTTGCTCCTGGTGGAAGATTCCATGCCTCAATGTGTTGCAATGTTTGATATTAATTACAATTGTGTTTATAGATTCACCGGTTCATGACATGGGATTTAGATGCATTTCATGATTTAGTGGATACTGTTTCTCGATCAGGAAGCGTGTTTTCAACATGTAGATTCAACATGATATTATTCCTCCAGCCAGTCGAGGCCGCTGACAAAGAGGCAGCTGGCCCCCAGGCAACTCAGCTTCTTACATCAGTCATCATCAGTCACCGAATCCTTTGACTATTTCTTTGGCTAGTTTCGTCATGGCACCTCCCCTACCAAAGCATGGTAGGTTGGCACCCCGAACATAGAGAAATCAGTTCAGCCATGACCCAGTGCTACGACCCAGTCATTGACTGCCCATACGTGACACCTTAGGTCTGGATATCATGACCTTATGACCTGAGCCAAGAGCCAGAACATCGTGACCTGAGATGAATCACATGGTATACGTAGCCATTCGTTCAATTGGTAGATAAAGAATCTCTCGCTTCAGCTCCAGCTGTGTTTTAAGGCCGCAGCCACCCAACCACTGAACCACTCACCCGATCGCCATCAGCTCAACCTCGCTGCCTGTGCGCCCAGGTGGCTCTTCACGAGATTTTTGTGCATTTGAAGGCCGATGGTGCGCAGAAAATGATGGGATTTTCCCAAATCAGAGTGGACCTCCACAGTCTTCAAAAATCTCTTGCAGGGTTCGCTTCTCATGTGCAGCTTCCACTTCAATAATTCAACATTTCTCCATTCCAGCCGCCCAAATGACCACCTTGATGGCGCCAAAACTCGCAACGGATTCACCACTTCCACCACTTCCACCAAACCAAGCTAAGAACCACCCAACCAGTCCCTGCTTAGTTCGGTTCTGGACATCCACTTCACTTAGGCCACTTAGAAAAAGATGCTCCGTCGTTCCTGTGTTCCAACATGATCTGTCTTCCAACCCCCGCCCTTGTGCTCCGCCGGCCCCCGAATATTCCCCTTCTTCGCTCCTTCTGCTGGCGCCCGAAAGCTACGCGTAACAGTCGCCTGCGCCGTGGCCACCGCCGTCGCGGTCAGGACGTGTCGTCGGGAGTGCTGAAGCCGAACGACCTGGCGACGGCCATGCAAATGGCTGGGATGAATCCGACGACTGCAGAGGCGAACGGGCGGCGAGTTCGTGGTTGAGATGGATGTGGTGCAATTCATCGAAGTGAAGAATGAAGTGCACAAAAATGGATTTCCCCAAAAAATTGTGGAGATTACTCTAACCAATCCTTTCTAAACTATCTCACACTTATAAACATGTTCATACATGTTCATTTTTTTGGGAGTTTTCGATGGAGAGTGGGAGAGGTTTGCGTGCGCAGTGACCCACCCGCCCTTCCCATCCCTTGACCCCCTCCCTTCGCTCGTTCTGGAGGCTTCGGAGGTGCTGGAACGCGCCGGGCGACCGGAGAGCTTCACCTTCGAGACCTTCCAAAAGTCCATGGAGGAGGGGCGGCCACGAGCCCGGAGGGTCAGGGCGTCGCCGTGAAGCGATGATCCCGGATGATGCCGGCTGATCCCGATCCTTTGGTTCGTTTTATTCTTTTTTCGGTGAGGCAAGTGACGACGGGCCAAGGCTGTGTGTTTGGTTTTCTCTTTTTTTCTGGCTATCCAGCTACAAACAAGAAGGCGTGGTAATGTGAAAGCTAGCATGGATCCTCAAAAAAATGGATGGCAAATGCTTCAGTGAGTTTACAGGTGTGGTTGGGTGCCAGGAGGTATGGCAGAGATGGGAGTCGGAGAGCTTTAGGGTTTGAGGGTTGGTGAATAGATTCTTCAGATGTCGTTCACCATCAGTCATGAATCACATTAATTACATGTTTGCAGAGAAGACACTTGCTGTTTGGCGGCAATTCCAAGAATGAACCCAAAAAACATAGCCTAAACAGCCAACGCTGGGCTCTTGCTTGGCCTTGGAATCCGACATGGGGACGTTCAGTTGGCAATGCCACGACCTTCGGCCTTGGAGCCGTCACAGCGTCCGCAGGGGGCTTTGGCCGAGTGGTCTGTGAGGGATCAGGCCACGGCCGGCAGGGAGGGACTCATGGAGCAACGGGAAGCCGGGTTTGATGATGTTTTTTGTAGGTGTGGAATGAGTAGATTGCACAAACATGCAAACACTTAAATGTCTTAGATTTGTTTAGATGGGGGTCTAGAAGTGATGGCTATATAAACCACCAGAATTAGGGGATTGTGCTATCTGCTTCCCATTCACTGTGGGTATGGCTTGATGTTGGGTTATGCCCCCAGGGCCTTTGGAATTTCACGCTGAACTGGAGAAGATGTGACGAAAATGGTCAACTTCGGCCAGCAACGGTCACGGAAAGACGTGATGAAAACAATTGAAAACATCTTTAGTTTGTGAAAACCACGTTACATGTATGAGGTCACGGTGGAGATGATCATCACGCATCATGCAGATGCTGTCTCCAAATGTCCTTGTCTCAACCTATAACCACGACTGAGAAATATCAGAAGGCAGCATGTTTGTTTATATTTAGCTTACACATGTGGCGGAGTTGTTCTTTTTTTTTGATGGATTCAAAAGAACAAAACAAGTTGAGGGGTATGTCAGGTCGAGTGGGAAGATGAAATTGCTGGCTGAACTCGATGATCAATGGTTGTGTGTTGGATAAGCACTCTGTGCATATTGATGGCTTGCGTGGAGGCTCAACAGCTACTAAGCTGCTTTAAAGTCTTTGACCCACAGAGGACTGGTGCCTTGGCAGCATTCGAGACCCAACAAGTTCATTCTCCGCAGGTTTTCGAGAGTTTGACCTCATGTGGCCCTCAAGAGGACAAAGCATTGGCTCACAGCTTTCCTATGCAATCCTTGTTCGACCTGAGGTGTTCTCAGTCGACAGACCATTGCCACGATCCTGCGCTCCAATGGTGTTTTGGACGTCAAGTCTGGTTGACGAACGGACGTGAGCTTGAGCCAGACTGGTTGCTGAACGTGGAGCAGTGGGTCTGTTTCTGCTTGTAGGGGATCATCATTTTCCAGACGATCCTGTTGCTTAAGACGCAAAGGGTAGAATCGGACTTGACCGGAGTCGACCTGGCATGGTCTCAAGTTCACTTGGTCTTCAGCTTTATCAACAACTCAACAGTCAGACTTCGGTTTGAAAGTCAACGTTGGCCATGAAAGACATCCCCAAAGCGCTGAAGACATGATTTCTTGAGGAATTTTCCGCACTTAGAACGGCATGGAACAGCATGAAACAGAGAAGTAGTCACTTCTCCAAGGCAACTGCTTTCCAGAGGAAAAGCTCGAGGAGACCTTCTCCAATCTCATGATTCATGCCCATTTTCTTCCACTCTTTCATTGCGAGCTTATCGCGGCCCGCTATTTCTCGATCAGCCAGCCAGCCGGCCGGCCGGCCGGCCGGCCAAGAACCACGGTCCAGCTGGCCGGCCGGCCGGCCGGCCAAGATCCACGGTCCAGCCAGCCGGCCGGCCGGCCGATCAAGGTGCCAGCCAGCCGGCCGGCCGCGGAAGAAATCGCTACTACTACCACTACTACTACTACTACTGCTACTGCTACTACTATACTAGTACTAGTACTAGTACTACTACTACTACTATTACTACTACTACTACTACTACAACTACTTGGCCGGCCGGCCGCTATGGCCAGCCGGCCGGCCGGCCGCTATTTGGGCAGCCGGCCGGCCGGCTGGTCGCGAAATAGCAGGCCGGGTTGCCCGCGCTGTCCACTCTTTGATTGTTTGCTTTGAGACTCTGTTGGATCTCCTGAGTTAGCGTTTTTGCAGACTTGGAGCCCAGTAACAAAGCCAAATTGTTGATAAATATGTGACGTGACAATATGTATATTTATTCTATATGTTCCTTTTGCTTTCCAAACAGCTCTCAAGCTGCAGTGGCTGTGAACTCACACTCCAGTCCTGCCATCAGGAGATGCTGCTTGGTCTCCCACAAAGTAGCACGAACCTGAGGAAAGAAAAGCAGAAGACCTTCATCCCAAAATCCCTTCACCGAAGTTACTGATATCTGAATGACATTGAAGTTATACTATATTATCAGGTGCATGTGTTGTTTGCATTCAACTTCTTTTTGTGTTTAATATGTTTTAACTATTTATAGACTAGAGTATGTTTGTTCTCTTGTTGCATGATTTACACTTGAGCAACCTTCCGGGAGAACCTCCTGCTTCCGGAGGTCAAGGAATCGAATATTCGCATTTGGTCCACTACCTCTTGGGCCCAAAGGCAGACGTCGCTTGGTGGTTGCGCAGACCGTGGGGGTTTCACGCGAACTGAATTCATCGTCTCTGACGGCAGACTGATGGGAACAACGCCTCCTGGACGGCTCGATGAATCGAGCTGTCCTTTTTGGAACGATGGTCTTTGTCTTTTGGAACCCACCGTTTTGTGAGCCCCAAAAGATGCATTGCAATGTACGACTCCCCATTGCTGTTTTTGGCAGGATACGGCCTAAGAGCTCTGGCTGCGATGCGAAGAGCTCTGGCTGCGAGATTGCGCAAGGAGCGGGGATCGTTGAGAACGGCGTTGATTCGGTCCTAGCTGATTTCAGTGATCAGATATACATCTGGTAGTAGTACATGCATGGGGTGGTTTGTTATTTTTTCTTGCAAGGTGTTTTGTTTGTTGTAGTTTTTTTGATGATCCTGTCACACCTTTCTCCATCTTTTCCGTTTTTTGCTTTGCTGACACATCGCATTTCGTTGAGGCTCCAGCTGCATTGCCAAAACGCGCTGCGGGCAGCTTCACCCTCCGTCCTCACAAAACGCTGGTTGCGCCCATTAAGGAGAGCTGTTCATTCACAGTATCGATATCAGAACTGAATCATAACCATTCTGTTTGAAATCTAGCTAGTGTTGTTAGACTCATGGCACATGAATGAACAAAACCATCTCTGAAATGAACCTGAAATGTCTTGGGTCACACTGCCCATGTGAAAGGTTTCAGCGCCTCACGTCGGCTCTCCGTCGTGGAGTAGCAGGCTGGAAGATGGCGCGAAAGGTCGGTTTGTAGCTGTTGATGGTTCAATTCGGCGCGAAAGGTTGTCCTAGACAGCGTCTTTGGAGCGAAATAAAGAGATGATTGTTACCTACTGGTACATATGAAACATGCAGGAACATCAGGCTCCATGGACAATCGATGGAATCTGCAGGAGCCATTTGAGGCTCAAACTCGCTGTCTCAATGGGATGCTCCAGTTCAAAGGCCCCGCCGCTGGCGCGGTGTTTCGGGGGTTTCGTTTGGCGTCCAGGTGTTGTGCGTTGCAAAGTGTATCACCTAAACCCAGGCCTATACTCGTTTACCTTGCCTGTTCTGTTTTTAGTTTTAGTGTTTTTTTTTTTTTTTTCGAGGGGTTGACCTCCATTACCTTGCATGGATTTAAATTTGAAGCAGTAGGCCGCAGGCCCACAGCACAGCATATTGGTTCAGTCACACTCTCTTTCCTGCGTAGGGCACCACGCAAGTGTGATTCCTCCTCAGCGTCAGAACTGTTGATTATTTTGCAACATTGTGGGATACTGTGGGACCGGACATTGTGGAATACTGTGTGAAAGGGAATCAGTGCATGCACCAGTGCATACATTGACATATTGGGTACCTGCAATCATACTTGTAGGGGCCTGCAGCTCTTCCCCATGCCTCTTGCTTTTCCCCTACAGTCAAAGCGTCCTGAGGCGACTGTGCATCCGCTGAGCAGCAAACATGAAGCGTCCTCCGCGCTTGGCACACAGGCCGGTGATGTCTGAGTTGTCAGATGTGCTGCGTCCCGATAGAGGGCTATTGTCGGCCTTGCTAGTGTAACTTCCTAAAGCTTCGTTTCGCATGTGGGTTTGCGCTACTAGACTTAAACCCCCATCGCTTGACCTGAAGACATTGGCTGCTTGCTTCGGTCCTTACTGGAGCAGCAGGGAATGCATTTTTCTTCTGGGTCGAACGAAGCAACGCTTTCACCGGCTGCACGAAAGAAGCAGGGAACATTTGCTTCGGTTGCGCTCGGGTTCCTTGTAGCTGAGCGTGTGTTGGAGCCCAGCACGGCAGCCCATTGTCACCTGAAACATGAGAGAGTCGTTACCATTGTTACCCTTAATTAAACCCAATAAACATCAATTGTACCTGCTTCTTTCATTCCATTTCAGCAAAAGGTCTTGGTTTGGTTCTAGTGACCGAGGGCTTTGATCGCTAGGGATCCACTGGCGATTTCTACCTCACATGCTGCTTGGTCCTGTGAAACTTCCTGGCGACCAGGTGGAGGTCTCCAGTGCGAGGCCCCAGAATTTGTGGCCCTGGATCTCAGTAACAGGTTGAAGTAGTCCTGAGGAAGCAATGGAACACCTGTTCGATGCTCCATGTTTGTTCCACCTCTTCCAAATGCACTTTCCTACTGACTGAACAGTCAGATGTCGAAAAAAAAGGTCGCAAGTGGTTTGCCATGCGACTATGTTCACCTATGGTTCACCTACTATGTTCACCTCATTTCACCTCATTTGTTTTTTTTGGAAACGGAAAAAGAAGTCCAAGTCCAGTTTGCACTTGCCTAGGATATTGAAAAACAAATGCCTCAAACGTTGTGCAGAGAGTTTCATTTGACCTCCTCATTTGTTCACCTTTTGTTCACCTTTTTTTGCGTTTGACCTCCTCATGTGTTCATATTTGTTCCCCCCCCAGGGGTGTTTTTTTTCGTAAACGCCACAGCTGAGGTTCCCAGCTTCGAACTTCCGCAGCGCAAAGCAGCAGCAGACACGAGCCCAGACAAGATAGACAAGCGAGGCGAGCGTCCGTTGAGTGGGGCGCTTTGGAGCGGGGGAAGGTGTTCTTGGGCCAGACATCGGTTTTATGCAGGTTTTATCCAAGGGCGTGGCAGTGCAGTTCTCTTTCAAATGTTGTCTTGATTTCTGAGGTGACCTCCAGACATAGAGGCTGATCGACCATGGGAGACCGATCGATCCTGGACCCTCTTCAGGAAGAAAAGGATCGACTCATATCCAGCTAGCTACACATCCACATCGGTCAGGTTTTGTTTGGGTGAGCTTTGCAGGTGAGCTTTTTCGAGCGATATTGAGGTCCATGATTCTACGGTGATGGTCACGTTGTTCACATTTGTTCACTGCCACAGGTGTCCCACGAATTCAAACGCCTCGGGTTTTCAGATGCTTTTGGAAGTGTCAGCCGCTTTTGCAGGGAGCTTCCCTCTGCTGACCAGAAGGTGCATGAGGACATGAGTGTGAAATAGACAGAAGCAGATGGCATTTTATACACTTTTGCCCGCCAAGTTCGACACATTTGGCCTAGTTGTTTTGTTCTTGAACACACCAGGAAATATGTTTCTACATTTTTCTGCCACACTTGACTGGCGGATGTACGTGAAGGTCCCTTTCAAACTTTTTTAAAGGATAGCCAGCTAGAGGGAACTCTGGACTGCCCCAGGAACAAGCCTCGCATTGGCAAACCTCCTATCAGAGAAAGACTTTTCCAGTGCTCGACACTTTGCATATTACTTTGAAAGATCGTCCAGCTGTGACAGCTGATACTGGCGACATCACATACCATGGAAACATTCGAGAAGGCGCAGCAAGATGCGTCATCTCCTTTCCTGGGAAGTATCCATCCGGATGGGACGCACTCATCAAAGAGCATCATGACGGCAGCGTTGGCTGCGTTTTTCTGTGCACCCCGGAAGATGGCCTTGGAAAACATGCGCAAGACCCTGATGCCGAAGAGGGCACTTGCTACTGCAAAGCCATCTATGGAGAGCGAGGCTGGAAGGAATTTGGCTACCTCAAGGTTCTAAGGTGCCCTTACACGAAGGAAAAGATGCTGAAGGAGCAGGAGAAAGCAGCAGCAATGGGTATAGTCGTTGTTGGAGAAGATGCTAGCCCAGAGGAACGCCAAAAGGCTGAACAAGAAGCTGAGCAGAAGTACGAGGAGAATCAGAGAAGAGCACCTTGGGGCTGTTTCTGGTTTAAAGTTTGGATGGGCAATGGTACCTACGCCACCGAGAAGAAGCAGAAACTGCAGGTGGTCTACTTTGCAGGGCAGAAAGGAAAGGGTAAGGCGAGGCGTGACCAAAATCTCCAATGACCTTTAGCAAAGTTCTTCAACACTTGGTCGGTCTCGCTAGGCAAACTATGGAACCTTTCCCCAGGTTTTGTAGGAAGTGTTAACACGTGTCAACCAAACAAAGCACCGCTGAATGACTTGGTGCGTTGACCTTTTTCATCGAGTCGCGGGCGTGAGTCGCACGTCGCGGGCACATGAAAACCATGAAAACAACTGCCTCAGGTGGAGTGGGAGGCCTTGGCCACGTCAGATTTGTGGGATGGGATCGGCCTGGGTGGCTCTCAAAAGTCCGAGGTGGCATTTCTGGATCGGATGAGGCAGAAGGATCCGGCATGGGATTATGAAGAAGCCTAGAGAAAGAGTGGTGGAGTTAAATTTTGGAAAACCCTGTTTAACAATGTTTGACCAACTTTAGGGCTTCACAAGCCAGGCCTGTCAGCAAGGTCAGTTGCGCTAAGAAACGCTCGCACAAATATGGCAAGAATTTGCCTTCTAATTTTTGGAGAACGGCTTCAGCTGTGAACATGACCTGTGAACGGCTTTGCTCCTTCGATCGAAAAATGGGCACGAAGCCGTGACCGCCGACTTCCCTGGGTACTAAGGAAGTGGATGTGGCACTCTTTCTACAGAATGAGTTTTCACTGGAACAGGAAGTAGATGCCTGGGACCCTGAGATCAGCAAGTGGCGCAGAGGAAGGTTGGTAGCGGTCCCCGAATGGAGTGAAGGCTGCCGCGACTCTCCAATGGAGTGGATGCTGGTGTGCAAGGAGAACCAGCAGACCTTCAGATCCACACATTTGAGGCACACGACGGACCCAATTCACAGACTGATTGACAGCTTAAACCGAGTGGAGGACGACGGCCTGACAAAGATGCTGGAGAATGCCTTGCCTGAGGGTATCCATTTGATGGGAACGCCTGATGTGCAATGTCGGCTTCCGAACGGCAACAATGCCGTAGGGGTGAAGGTCCATGTGCCACACATCAAGGCAGGAATACATCTCGAAGTAATTGAGGAACGCATCGGATTGCCATTTTGTGTGTTTCCGTGTTGTTTTCACACTCTTCAAATAGCAGACATTTCAGACACAACCGAAGACACCCATGGCCTACAGGGTGACATCCCTTCCATGTTTGCCGCTCTCCTTCTCCGTCTCCCTGCATTTACATGTGTTCGTTTCCTCGCTCTTTCTCGAACCAGGCGATCCATTTACTTCGAGATCGGGTGCTGAGTGGTGATTTCGACACGGCGCTGAACGAATATCTTGCAACAAGCGAATATCTGGGCGAATTGGAAGTGCAGGTGGACAAGACAGAGTTTTTTGAACGATACGAGAGGCAGGTGTTGGGCGAAAGAGATGGACAAGTGACAAGTGAGGGTTGTACAAGGAAGACAGTCATTTAAGCCGTTAAGCTAAAGAGGTTGTTTTGTTTATTTTTCAAGTCAAAAGCACGTTCCATACACATCTTCATCTACGTTAATTAGGGTATTTCCATGTATGTCCTAGCCTAAAGTAAATGGGCTGTGCAAAGAAGATTGTCGTTCAGCTGGTGTGTCGGTTATGTATAAGAAGAGGGGAACACAACCCAACCCTGATTTTGCGAGGAGTCTTTTGTCCCTGTCGAAACTGACCGAACATCAAGAATCCAAGCTTCAGCAGCTGCATGAGGCAAACAGCAAGGAGCTGCATTTATCAGCTCCTGCAGGCGCGGGCAAAACCTTCGTCGCCGTGCAATTTGCGCTCGACAAGGTCTATGAGAACTGGAACTCCAAGGGCAGAATTCTTTATGTTGCACCTCGCCCTGCTTTAGGACTACATTTTGTTCAGTGGCTCATTGCAAGACACCAGGCCCTAGGGATTCAAGAAGGCTTTGATGCCAATGTCGAGGAATTGTTGGCCCGAGTGGTCTTGATGCATGAGCCTTACAATCGGCTGATCAGTTTGCACGTGGGGCCTGGGGGGCGCTTAGAGGAGACCCTCTTACAGACGCACGTTGCTGCCATAGCTTCATCTTGTTTCCTCAGCATTTTCGATGAGGCACACGAGTTGTTTGCTTCTGACCAGATGAGCCAAATCTACAGAGATGCTCCAGGTGAGAAGTTGCTACTGTCCGATCTGTCACAATCCGCTTCTCTACATCCCTCCTTTCCGAAAGATGCCACCACGGTGACCATGACGGAAGTGGTCAGGAGTACCAAGCGCATCGTAGCTGGCGCACAAGCGTTTCAGATCCGGATCGATGGAGTCAGCACCAGCTGCTCCGGCACGGAGGGACCACCTCTGAAAACCTTCATGTTCAACGCTGATGCGCAGGAGATGAAGACCTTTGATCTCTGTTCTTTGCACATTGTCCGTGCCATTTGGCACATCCTCCGAAGCTTTCCAAGCCTGAAGAGCTTGCACCGGAGGGTGGCCATCATCGTGCCGGACCAGGAATTCTTGGAGAAGTTGATGCCGCTTCTGGCAGTGAAGCTGCAGTCCACCTTTGCTGCACGCAAGCTTCAGCTGGTATCCTTTGAGGGTTCTTTGCGCTACTTACATCACTACCAACAAGAGGTAACAAGTGAAGTTCTTGTGCTGGATACCATAGAGTCTGCCAGAGGACTAGAGATGATGATGGTCATCTGTGCTGGTCTTGACGAACCGATCTCTGAGACAGGCTCGATGGAAACTCTGGTGACACGCGCACGGATCTACCAAGGCATCACAAGAGCGCAGCTGATGACAGTGATCGTGGACAGATTTGTGCCTGGCGGTTGGCTAGAATTTCTTCAAACGCTGAAGTTCAAGGAACAGCTCTTCCAGGTAGGGAGCTAAAAAATGGGGAATACAGTAATGGTGTCCTAGTTGCAAGTGGTGTTGGTTCGCGTGTTTTAACGAGATAAAAAGGGACGCCACAGCCAAATAACGACATAGATTGAATTCAATGAGATTCAAATTGGTGGTTAACCAACCAGGCATTCCTCAAAACCTGGGGGCAAGCAGCTAAGCGGGTTCCGGCGCTTGCATTCAGGAGAGTTCCGCTTTTGCGGAGGTCAGCCCAGAGGCTGCCGGCCAGATCGTCCAGAAGCAAGGTCAGGCCGTGCGATTGGCCTTGGAAAGCCCAGAGGAGGGCAAGGACAGGTGGGAAGTGCGAGGACTCCAGGGGTTGTGGCAGCGGCCACTGGATGTTGGCTTGGCTGTTTTGTCAGATGTTCTTCCAGAGAGGAACAGCAAGACTACAATATGTGGAAAGATTGAACCACGTGACATGTGGTCCTCTTCCACTTCCATGTTTATTTGTGATTGCGTGTAAAAAGATGTATTTAATGTTTTGGATATGAAAAGGGGAGAGTTGGAGTTGGATCTAAATCTAACCACAGGAAGGAACTTGCCCCTTGGCAGCCCCACGCCTGGTTGGTGAATTGTCCTCAAGCAACTGTTTTCTCCTCAGGTAGGGCATTGTCATTGCTGAGTACAGTAAGTATATCATACATATATCATACATATATCTAGATATATAAGACAAGTGACATGAGTCAAAGGAACCCAGAAACACTCGCTCCGGCACCAACTTATTTGAAGCTCACGGAACCGCCCCTTCTTACATCATCACGTTCAGCAAGAGAAAAGGCACGTGAACAGACATTCCCCGCAGACGGTTCAACTGATTGAATTGATATGACATGCTATAACTGTTGCATTGTTGAACATCAACAAGTTCAGACTGTCTTGAACCATCAACAAGTTCACACAGCTTGTTGATGGTTCAAGTCTGTCCCCTGACCACCTCGCAACATAGACTACTCCGCATGGGCGGGTGCTGATCCCTGGTAGTTCCACGCCGGAAATCCTAAACTTAAACCACAAAATACCAGAAATATTCAGAAAACTAAATGATCCCTAGTTGATGTGAGGGGCAGATGGTACTGGTATCAGGTTTACTAGTTCTACTCCGCATCCTTTAACTCCGCGGGCGCAATCACGTGCTCCAACAAGGAGAAACCATCCCATCGAAAAAAAGAACCCGGTCATGCCGAAGGAGTGGGGACAGAAGGGAAGGGCAGACAGAGCAGCGGATTTTGATATGTGGAGAAGGCCTCCTTAGAACAAATCTTTAGATTCTGTGGAGACAGTGCTTTTTCGTTTTTAGCTGGTAGATTCTTGCGAGCCTCTTCCAGAAAGAACCCTCTCTATGTTCAGCTCAAAAACATCATTCGATACTACAGGGGAGAACACCAATTGAGTGTTTCAAGTTGATCCGCCTGAAGTGCATAGCCGCATAGCAGTTGATGCACAGTTGGCATGTTGTTGGTGCAAAATAGCAACAAGTACCAAGCCAAACTTGATCCAGGCCATCCATTTGTTGGCTTCACCTCTCCTCCAGCACCTGTGGGAATGTGTTTAGACTTGTTTTACAGTAAGTGTGACATGTCAGAATAAATGAGATCCCACACTTATTGAATACATCCAGCTCCCCTTCGTCCTGAACCTAGAATTCCCCTCCCCGAAACGACCATTCAAAGCATACTCTCCAAACCTTCCCCCCCGACCCGCGGTGAAACACACACCACACCCGCGAAGGCCAAGACTGCCACGAAGGTCGATCGTGAGGACGGTGAACACCGTGGAAACTCGTGCGCGCAGTGACCTTCTGGTACTCGTGCCAAGCGTAGTAGCCCCAATGACTATTAGTCTACTTCCATCATCTTCCAGTGTACTTCGGTACTTCTGTCTACTTATAAAGATGCGAGCAACACCGCTGGAAAATGCAGCTGTCATATTTTGGATTGCAGGGGACCCAGCCGCGTGTCATGCCGTTCTGCATGCTTCAGGAACGTGGCAAGATGAAGCCTTTTGAAACCCACAAGGACGGGCCCCCCCAGCTGTGAACAAGGTAGATGACACCACGTTTCTTGAACTTTGTGCTTCATGATATGAGAATGAATGAATTATAACATGAAAGTTTTTCATGTTCTTCCCTTGCTGCTAAACCCTTGTTGTGACTATATAGGCAGAAGCAGCAATCGTTGTCCTTCACAGTGCTTGCAGTGGTTGCTGTATGTACTCTCCCCTGACGCAGTGTTCTTTGGTTTGGAGACACATTTTGATTGGTGTCGTTGAATTTCAATTCCCACATGTGTTTCAGTAAAATGTCAGTAAAACTAATGTTATAACATAAGTTGTAACATATCATTGCAACAGGCCTGCAAGAAATCCATTCATCAGAGCCAAGATTGGAATGTGTTGGTTACTTGCTTCCGTTTCGACACCCTTCTACTTGGCCTTGTTGGGTTGCTGTGCTGCCGGGAAGGAAGATGATGAAAAGTGGTCCGAAGAGGAAGCAGAAGAAGAAGCCCGTTCAGAGGCTAGACCAAAACATGGAACAATCAGGGCCAGAGCAGTTGTTAGCACTAGTTCGAGCCCTTGATATTTCAAACAGCTTGGTGGCATTGCTTCTTTGGTTGGGATTTAACTCGCCCGGCGCATGGACATATCACTAGGTCAGAGGGAGGCTTCTAACCTATCAACAAAACTCGCCAACATGTATAACCAATCCATGGAATGCTGTAGGCAGCAGGTTATACTAGCTTTGTAGAGGTACTCCGTTTTTGTGAGCAGGTCAGAAGAGGCGAACCATGATTGAACTTCAAGTGCTAGAAGAAGTCTTAAACCAATGTCACATCATTGATTCGTGACGGAAGAAATCCTACATATGATGCTCAAGCCCTAAACACCCTGCTCTTCAGCATCCGCACCCATTTCTTCGACCGCTCCGGTCTACCCTGGTGTTTTCGACTCTCAATCCACGGCTTTCACCAGCGATCTTCGTCCCGGAGGGGGCCGAAGCAGAACACCAACCGGGGAAGCGCCCGAAAAGAGGTGCCAAATGACCGGCCACGGCTCCCCACCTCCAGGTGACTGCTCCGACTGCTCCACGACGTGAAGAGCTCCACGAGACCTCCATTTGGGATACGGACAGCAACGAGATCACCTCGCGAAGTCAAGCGCTTCGCTTCGACCCGCGCCAAGCGCAGGCGGGCAAACGCCGGCGCCCGAACCCTGCCTAAACATGGCCCACGGGAAAGCATGTTGGAAAGAATATCCTTTTGCTGCAAAGTGTGAAGGGGATCCTGGCTGCCGTGGTCTGTTGCAGGGTACCATGCCTTTTGGGGTGAGTTTCTTCATGTTTAGTTTTAAAGTTCGTGATGATCTAGTGATTGTGTTGAATGCTTCGGCAGAAGCAAGCAGCAACAGAAAGTTTCTGGTCTAGTTTCTAGAAGGTTGTCCCAACAAGGCAACACTGGCTACAAGTCGGTCAAGCGAGTGTGGTTTCGGTATTTTTTGCAAAGAAATACATCCCCTCGATGTTTTGCACAATCCCAAAGCTTTGCTGAGTATCGGAGGTCCTCCGGTTCCTGCGCATTGACAACATGGAATCTGATGTTGGGAAACATTCGTCCTTAACATTGTTATCACGATATTGTTCAATGGTTTTGATGCACTGAGAATCGCAACGAGCGTCAGGCAAAGTCCGTCCACCTCTTCATTGACAATCCTGGCAAAATCACGGACCGCATGAGATATGTTGTAACGGGAAGTGCTGTCAGTGATGAGGATTGTGGTCAAGCAGGGTCTGAATCTGAAGATACAGTGATTTGGGCGTACAGACAGGAGAGGACTTTGCGGAATTTCATGTTGTTTGAAGATGGTTGTGGCAAGGAACGTCAAGATGTTGCTTCATGTAGAAAATTGATTTCTCACAGATGGGGTTGGGCCAACCAACGTGGTGAGTTGCTTATGTGGCAGACATGAAGATGATGCAGCATGAGTTAGAGTTAAGGGTCCTGGCTCATTTGAGTCATGTGGGCTCTCGCTGTGTTTCGCATCAACATGCACCATAAGCCCCGTGAAGTACCGCAAAGCACGTTAAGTACAAGGTTGGCGCGTCCTGCGCCGTGACAACGGACTTCTTGCAGTCAGGGGACCAACAAGATATTCCAAAGACTGACTGTCAAAAGAAGGTTCCAAAGACTGACAGATGTTGCGTTTTCCATCTAACCTGATGCGTCAGATCATCATCCCTATCCCTTGCACGGTGTTATTTTGGTTGGAAACGCCGTCGAAGGGCGTGGGCGGTCCGGTTGTTTTCGAGTCCGTCGATGCAACCTGCACGGGTCCATTCGACCAAAACGGTCGACCAGGTCAGTTCCCAACGGTCGACCGAAAAGACCGGGTGGGTCAAAACGGAACCGGTCGGTGTTTGGGTTTTTCACCACATTGGGTGAAAGATGTTTGTTGCACGTTGTTAGTTGTTATAAGTTTTTTTTTTAAATGTTTTCCGTTTTTCACTGTGTTTGTTTGTTTTGTGCGTTTCGTCCGCGATTCACCACCGTGTCAAACTCTGATGTTTCGACGTCCGAGATCGCGAACTCAGACCCAGGAACATGCCGCTCCCGTTCTACGCATGTTCATTGTCATTGAACCGGGTGGTGAGATTTGATGCTAAAGGTAGAGGAGTTACTTCACTTACTGAATGGGGGAGCCGAATAATTCCATTTAATGATTGCAGACCTTTTTTTGTAGCGGTCCACTGCCAACTTCAAGGAAGGATCATAACACCCACAGAAGCCCAGCCAGGCTCCAGCCAGGCAAAGAAAATTCAGAATCTTGGGTCGGGATAAGACCCAAGACTAACTATGGGAATACCTTGTGAGCATTCTTTCTACCAGTAAGAGTTTCATAGCCCCAACCTCAAACAAGCCTGGTGCCCGCCATGCTAGAGGAGCAGGTGCAATGGCACTTTTTGCAGTCCTTTCCCGTAT